AATTTCTTGTTTTAAACAAGCAGCTGCACCTTCTTTCAATGTTTTTATTATAACTTTGTATTCTGATATCCGATTGAGGCGATTCAAAATGAGTTGGAAAGCTAACTCATCTGGCTACAATTTTGATTCAGACATTATTCTCCAATTCGATCACTTTTTATGCCACAAATAGGTCTCAATATAACGGACTATGTAACGAAATTTCTTGTTTTAAACAATCAGCTGCACTTTCTTTCAGTATTTTTATTATAACTTTGTATTCTAATGTTCGGTTGAGGCGGCCCAAAATGAGTTGGAACGCTAACTCATCTGGATACAAATTTGATTGAGACATCATTCTCCAATTCGATCACTTTCTATGCCAAAAATATGTCTCAATATAACGGACTATGTAACAGAATTTCTTGTTTTAAACAGGCAGCTGCACCTTCTTTCAGTGTTTTTATCATAACTTTGTATTCCGATATCCGATTGAGGCGATTCAAAATGCATTGGAAAGCTAACTCATCTGGCTACAACTTTAATTCAGACATCATTCTCCAATTCGATCACTTCCTATGCCAAAAATAGGTCTCAATATGAGACTAAAACACCGGAGCATAATTTTTCGGTTGAAAATTGATTTGTGATCATCTTTTGACTAAATTTGATCCCCTTGACATCTTCCTTTATCCAATTGACTCCGAGCACTCTCAAATCTTCATTGTGAGATTCGGCACAACTTTTAAGTATTTACATTTTAGCCCCCGAACTTTGGATCCCTTACAATTTAGCCATTTCTCCAAATTTGTCTACTTTTGCTTATTTTCTTCAATCTCACCAACCTACATCACAATATCAAAATCACACATCTAATTATTTATCAATTACATAAACATTACATCATTAATTATTTATATGGTGTCTGTTTCTGCTTTTCAGCAGAAATCAAGCCGTTGGCAACACAATTCATGCCGTTGGCAGCCGCAATTTTGGACCAATTCTCTCACTGTAGGGCTGTAGGTTTGAAAAAAAATGGTAACATAATCAATTTTCCTTCCTTCTTGCAGCGCGCCCAGACACACCCTTAATTAACCAAAAAAAATTACATCTTTATTAATAACAAATTAATTATTAAACAAAAATATTAAATATAAACTAAGCAAATGTGCATTACACGTTGCTTGCACCTAGTATTTAAATAAATTGCAAATATGCAAATCATTATACAAATAATGATTAAAGGATTAAATTAAAAATATTCCGAAAATTTATCGAGACAAGTTCTCTGTGAGAGAGAGAGGGGAACCAACTAACATAATTTGTACCCTCAACACCAAACTCTTACCAATAAAACTTATAAAATGGTACAACCAATAGAAACTAGAAAGTGAGATATAAAACTTCTTAAAAAATAAAACAAATTATTAATTTTAAAGTGAATTGGAGATTATTATTATGTAATGTATAAAATTTCATTTTTCTATATTTTGTTAAAGAGTGATGCTATTCGTAGTTAGTCTTTCTATGTGACATATAAGTGGTGATTTGTGATTTGATGTATGAATCAAGAAAAAATTATCAAGTTAATGCACCAAATCACGAACTGTCACTTGTATGTCCCGTAGGAAAACTATTCCTTGTAAAATATTTTGCTATCAAATTTTAATTTGTCCAGGCATTATCCATAAAAATAACGTTGTATTATCATTCATGAAATTCTTAACTTTAGTAAATATTTTTAATTTGCTCGTGGACATATCGCATATAAAGTGTTTGTTTGGAGGAGGTTATTTGAAGTAAAAAAATGACTTGCTTGAAGAATGTATGGTTAAAAGAGAAAATCTGTGAGTTTATGTGTAAAATTATTTTATTGAAAGAGTGTGTGATTGAAAATAAGTTTGATAAAAAATGATTTTCAAATAAGTTGTGCCAGACATGCCCTTAGTTAACCAAGAGTGAATTTTAGTTAGCATTGGTCATTCCCATATTCACTCACATTTTGTTCATACCCAAACACTTCCCACTAGACAAGATTTTCATAAAATCTCCAAAATTTGTGAAAATAATTAAATCAAAATTCGGCCTTCGTCTTGCTCCACCCAACATGAGTTACACCCAATCTTTCAGAAAACCCTTTTCACTCCGCTTAGCCTTATCCCCCTCTAGGGGATTTTAGTGATTTTGGTCAAATACCTAGCGACAAACTCCAATATTCCTTTCATTGCGGCGGTGATCAACTAACATGACCAAAAAGGTAGGACCATACATCAAATACAGTCGATTCACTATAGACTATATCAACATCTACGCATATTCGTACAGAAATAATTAGAATATTCTCCAAAATAAGTATTTTTTATTGTTGGAGGGACCATTAGTCACATCGACGTGGAAACGTGAAAATGGATATGTTTTAATTTATGTAATAACCCCAATATGTTGTCTTTACATGAATTAAATTAATAAAAATTGACGTGGCCATATCTAACTCTCCATTGAAAATTTGGCCATCAAAGAAAAAAATGAATATTTATTTTTATACCAATAAAGACCATCGATCCGTCTACAGAAAGTAATATGAAAATTGTAAAAAATGATATGATCAAAGAGGTACCGAATATTTATATTAGTTGCAGAAGAAAAATAGAATACCAATACCTATTTCATTGGAGAAGACAATTATCCACCCAAAGCGAGGTGCACAATAAATTAAAATCCTTTTATTTCACCAAAATTTTGGATTTGTCAATGCTGTTTTGGAAATTGGATCTTGTTTGGTTGCGCTTTTAGACCTTTAAGTATATTAAAATTAAAGTCAAAAACAAATTGAGCTCCTGTTTGGTACACATTCTTTCAAAATACAATATTATAAAACTCATTTTCAATCACATTTTTTAATAATTATTATAAAAAGTAGTGTAGTTATTAAAAAGGAATGAAAAATTGGTGTATAAAGAGTAATATAGTTATAAATTTTATGTAATAAAAGAGTTATTATAGGTAGTTTGTGTGGGACTAAAACTGTTGCTTAATATAGTTTCTAAGCGGAGTAAAATAAAACATTGAACGTTTAATTCTTCTGCCGGCATTTTCTATGTAAGACATGACGTAATTGAAGGTGGACATTATGTTTGGAATAATGCTATTTATTATTATGATAATAGAATATTGGCGATGTAGCAGTCAATATGGAATAATGTGATTAGGTAGTTCAATTTTTATAAGGGAGAAGGGGAGGAGTGAGAAAGAGAAATGGGAGGGAAGATGAGTTGCCGCCTCACCGATCTTATATCATCGTGATGATAAATATCATTACTTGTTTGTTTTGACTTTATAATGAACACATGTATATATAACATAAATTGGAAGAATGCATTTTGAAATAATAGATTGATGGAGAATACATGATTAAAAAGTAAGAAAATTTTTTGTATGTATGCTTAATATTATTTTGTTGAAAAATGTGTAGTTGAAAAAAAGAGAGAAAAAAAATATATTTTAAAAATAGTTTGAATCAAACAAGGTCCTCGTTTAGAAGAAAAATAGTAAGTAGAAGTGAAGTTTATCCTTTTACTTTTAAGCCTCCGTTTGGTGCACATTTTGAAGGTAATAATGCATTTTTACTGTTGATGTGATAATGAATATGTAGTTGAAAAATAAGGAAAAATTATTGATGTGATGGAAAATATTATTTTATTGAAGAATGTATAATTAAAAATGAGTAAAAAAATAAAAATGAAAAAAATAATATGAACCAAACAGGACCTAAATATAATTGAGACCCATGTTTGTGTTATAAGCTTAGAAGTATACGGTGTGGAACCCAATCATTACTTGAATTTTAAAATGCAAGCTCATTCTATTTTTACCGTGCAATCTTATCTCTTTTGTTCACCATGCGATAATTTGAGGAGTTCACGAAAAAAAAAAAATATAAAAAAAAAGTTCGGTTCTTATTCGGTTCTTCGGTTCTTGGTCGAGAACCGAGAACCGAACCAAACCATTCGGTTCTCGATTCGGATACCCGTTCGGGTATTTCATTTTAAAAAACCCGCTCGGTTCGGTTCCGGTTCGATCCGGTTCAGTTCGGATATTTTGCCCAACCCTAATTTTTACCGTGCAATCTTATCTCTTTTGTTCACCACGCAATATTTGAGGAGTTCACGAAAAAAAAAATAAAAAAAAATTAGAGAAGCCATACTGATCCATAAATCCTTATATGAAGGAAAATTCACCGATTATAGACGTAAAATAAATTGAATCAACAAAGCTAACACAAGCCTAACTTATGGATCCTGTCAAGCTCTGTGTTGGGTTAAGATTTAGAGGGTGTTTGGTGGGGATTAAAATTAGATTTTTAGTAAATTGTGATAGAAGTTTTTGAAATATGTGGTTGAAAAGTTGTGGGACCTATGAAAGATGTTGTTAATATTGATTGATTGTTTGACTTTAACTTTGATTAAAATCAGATTTTAATCCGAATCAAACAGAGGCTTAATAAATTGAATCAACAAAGCTAACACAAGCCTAACTTATGGATCTTGTCAAGCTCTGCGTTGGGTCAAGATTTAGAGGGTGTTTGGTGGGGATTAAAATTAGATTTTTAGTAGATTGTGATAGAAGCTTTTTGAAATATGTGGTTGAAAATTTGTGGGACCTACTAAAGATGTGGTTAATATTGATTGATTGTTTGACTTTAACTTTGATTAAAATCAGATTTTAATCCGGACTAAACAGAGGCTTAATAAATTGAATCAACAAATCTAACACAAGCCTAACTTATGGATCGTGTCGAGCTCTGGGTTGGGTCAAGATTTAGAGGGTGTTTGGTGGGGATTAAAATTAATTTTTTAGTAGATTATGATAGAAGTTTTTGAAATATGTGGTTGAAAAGTTTTGGGACCCATAAAAGATGTAGTTAATATTGTTGTTTGACTTTAACTTGGATAAAAATCAAATTTTAATCCGAACCAAACAGAGGTTTAATTGCCTAAGATTTTACTAGTTTTTCAATATGTTACAACAAGGAAGATCTTAATTAAGAGTAATGTTATTTACGATTGTAGTTGTCATTTCATTGACAACTTGTTGTTTGAGATATTTGATTGTTATTTGAGGCAACAGAATCATGGCCTTGTTTGAATCACCTTTTTGTAGAATGAGAATGAAAAATATAACCGTTATTGAGATCCACACAAGAGATAAAAAATTTGAATTTAAATGTTGATGTGATGGATAACGGTCATATTTTTCATTTTAATGAGATAATAAGGTGGCCCAAACGGGAGCATAAACTGCACATAGTTATGATAGTGACAAGTTAACACCTGATCATTTTAATGAGAAAATAAGGTGCCCCAAACAGGGGCTATATAAAACTAATCTCTCAAATAACAAATTGTAATATAAAACGACTGTTGATTACGAATAACATTATTTTAATTATAGGATTGCATATAAAAAATTATATAATAAGTTATAAATACTATTCAATAACCGCATAATAGTATGTAATAATTGATTCCAAAAATAAATCATTATAATTGAACATTTTCCTCTTTCAAGTGGATACCGTCGCAAGTGCCGAATTCCACCATATAAACAAATATAAAAAATGCGATTATTAAAAAACGCATAACGAATAACCAAAGAGTAGAAGGGGACTGTGAGTTTCCTCCGTTTCCCCGTCTCTCCCACAATTCCGGGCGATCAAATTCTACACTCATGGCGACCCCAACTAGACAAAATTTTCCTAACAATCAAATCTCAATTTCTTCAGTAAAATCCACTCTCAAAGTCTACTCCGTGCCTCTTCTTCTCCTTGCTCTCTCAATTTTCTTCCAGCTAATCGTCGTGCCCCGTAACTTCCCTACAACTCACTACGATGGTGCGTATTACACCCCGTCATCCCTCTTTCCTCGTGATTTTCACTTCTAATGTGCTTATTATTTGTTGAAATAAAGTGGGTTTCTTTATGGATTATATAATTTTGATTATTTTGCAGTTTTGGGTATCCAGAAGTATAGCTCCATTGAAGAGGTGAATCGGGCCTATGAGAAGATAGCCTCCAAGTGGTAAAGTTCATTTTTATAATCGTATATTATCATGTAAAAGTGTTACTCTTATGGAGAAATATGGAGATGTTTTTTGTTACTCGAGTTGTGAAGCACGCTATTGTGTTCATCGTCTTAAAACGTTTTCTTATATCTTATATGCATCCGTAAGTAAATTGAATAACAAAATTTGTGCATGTCCTGTATTATTGTGTTAGAGAGCGGAATGCAGTGTTTACATTAATTTATGAATAAATGAACTTGCTTTCGCCATTTTTTTTTCCGGAGTTAGTAAAANGAACTTGCTTTCGCCATTTTTTTTTCCGGAGTTAGTAAAATAGGCTATAAATGTAGTGGGGAATTGAGTCAGACAGCAGAAAAGCATTCGTGTATTGGACTCTGATTTTGAACTCTTTTGTTCGGGTTCATAAAGTAGACTATAAATGTTGTCGGGAATTAAATCAAACACCAAAGAAGCTTCACATGATCGACCCTGATATTGGAACCTTTCTTCCAGATTCTTAATTAGGCATAAATTTAGTTGGAAATTGATTTGGATAATGAAAAAGAATTTGCATGACAGACCCTGATTTTAGCTCCCAATATATAAAATGAAATAGCAAAAGACATACATAAAAAGAATAGAAATGGCAGCAAAACTCATATCTTCAGCGATGTCAGGATAATGAAACTCACTAACTACAGATTAAAAACAGTGGAAAATTAAACAAAAACTGAAAGAAATTATAGCAAAATTAGAAAAGAAAATCTTCAATTCACTGATAAAATTTGGAAATCAAACGGGCACACACACATTTTTTCATATTGCAGTTATAGTGAATTAGGGATATCCAATTCTTTTCTTTGTATATCAGTAACTCCAATTGCAGTCCAGATTCTAAGATCCAATTGGAGTTGACGGAGACTGTTTCACTTCCAGTGAATTCCTTCCCCATCACATGATCTGACACAACTGAGGAGTTTTAGTGTTCATTTCAGTGCTTAACCGGTGTCTTGAAAACAGATGACATTTCCTTGTTTTCTCTCAAGTTCCGATTCACATTTTGGCCATAATTTCCAAAAAAAGTCGTAAATTGAGGAATCTTACAATGAAGATAAATCCGGGAACTGAAATCCCCCCGAAATTGGATCATATTGTCTCCAGGGAAACACGCTAGTAATGGAAGCTGTAGGAATAGTTCAAGAGGATTTGAAGCTGAATGGAAAATATAATTGTTGAAACAAGTACTTAGGTTTTTCTTGGCTCCTTTGAGCCACATGTTTTTTATGTTCAACTTTGGAATGAAATTCATATGAAGAAATACCGAGCAGTTTTTGATACTCGAGTATAAATTTTGCTTATTTCTTATTACACTTCTAAGCAAATTAAGTAAAGTAGTTTTGTGTTAATGAATAAATGCACTTGTCGAAGTTAAAGCTTAAATTTTATTGATCTTAGGAAAAATTGTATAACTATAGACATATAGGATATTTGTTTGTTGATGTGGGACTTGGTGTAGCTAGTTTAAGGTGCACCACGAAAGAATCCTCTTGGGAAGATGTTTCCAAGCACCACGAAAGAATCCTCTTGGGAAGATGTTTCCAAGTAGAGGTGTAGCATTGAAGTATACCTTTTGTGTATTACCGAGTGGTGTTATATGTGAAAGAAGGATGAGGAGACAATAGATCATCTGTTCATTCATTGCGATGGTGTTTGGT